AAGTAAATTTAGTAAATAAATACAAGAGATAGTCGAACTTATTTATAAGGTTGATGACCTCAACCACAAGGGTACTCAACCCATTTACAAGGTTGATGACCTCAACCAGAAGAGAATTCCTAATGGTAATTTTCCTTCTAAGGTTACGTACCCAGGTGTCTTACTACCACTTGGGTTCATGTGTGACTTATTTGTTGGTAGGTATAATGTAATCATCTAGATCATGTATATATAGTCTATGCTAATTTTGTGATGTCTTTATTAGTAAGATTGGTCCTTTAACCCTTTCGTTCCCTTCTAAAAGTGTTTTGGTCAATGAATCATTCATATTTCTATATATCTTTCAATGACCACCAAAAGCCACAATAAGACCATTCTCTCTCTCATGTATTTTTATTAAAAAAATTTTATTTTTCAATTTAAATTACATCAAATTATAAAATATAAATTGTTAAATAAAATAACCTTCATTAAAAATAATTTACCTCTATTTACTAATAAATAGTATGCAATTTTTATCTAATAATAAATATTATATAATTTAAACAGCATAATATTTATTATGTCTATTAATCTGTCATTTCTTTTTTTCTAACTTGATTAATTAAGAAGATTTTTTTCAATGAAAGAAGAAAAATTAAGGATTTATTAGGTTGGGGCCATGCGGTATATGGATGGAGGAACTAGCTGTCAATCGATCCCCCCCTTCCCCCACCTGCTACCACGTGAAGTGGCACAACAGTAGTCTTATATTGCTACTTCACTTTCCTTTTCAAGAGTTCATAAATAAAAAATATATATAGAAAAAAAAAAAAAAAAAGAAAAGAAAAGAAAAGAAAAAGATAGCTCTTTGTCTCCAATAAATTCCCCTCCTTGCCTTCCTCAATATCTCCACTAAGTCATATCCTCACTCACCAGCTCTCATTGGCATCCTTTCCCTCAACAAAAGAAAAAATGGGGCTGTCTTTCTCAAGCTAGCTAGCTAGCTATAGCCATGCCTCTTCTTCTTGCTTCACACTTACGATCTGTTTTGCAGAAGTGAAAAAGATGGAACTCCGCTATTGTCAAAAGAAGCACAATAGACTACTATTCGGCTGTATGTGTCATTCTCAAGCTCTAGTATTACTATTCCCACACCATGCCAGCACCAGCAGCTAGCTCGCGATCCCTGTCCAGGGGCTAGAGTTGTCCTCATCATCAAAGTGCAATCTCGAAAGCCAAGCTAGCTGCTAAAATGTTTCCCTCAAATAACGTTAATGCCAACATTGTTACTACTAATTCCAAACAGGAGGAGCTTTCTATCCCTTTCTTTCATTTTCCCTCTCCCTACAGTCATTATGAATTAGGATACTTACTTGAAGATCACGATCCTTTCCTTCATCAGCACCATGATGACCTCTTCTTTCATCAACCCTTGAGAAGTAGTGACGATTCAATCTCTGAAACGGTCATTAACATGCCTGATTCGAGCAAGATCGACGAGCCAATCATTGATTGCAGTGGATCTAAAACTGGAAATGTGATCACCGAGGAAGTCCCAAGAAAGAGGTCTTCCAAGAGAGATCGGCACAGCAAGATCAACACAGCTCAAGGACCGAGAGACCGGAGAATGAGATTGTCTCTGGAAGTTGCTAAAGCCTTTTTTGGCCTGCAAGACATGTTGGGATTTGATAAAGCTAGTAAAACTGTTGAATGGTTGCTTCTTCAGGCGAAGCCGGAAATAGAGAAATTACTTCCTCATGGTCTCTCCAGTGTTAGGAGTTCGTCTTCTACTTCTGAGTGTGAAGTGGCGTCTGGAATCATTTCTATGAAAAACCCAACAACCAAGGACAAAAAGATCACTAGACAACCACGTACCTTGCGCCCTCTCGCCAGGGACCTGAGGAAAAAGGCCAGGGCAAGGGCAAAGGCAAGGACAGAAGCAAAGAAACTGCAGTGGAGTATAAAATTGGATGAATCAAAGCAGGAGAAGATTGATAATCTGAACCAAATACGTTCTTGGGGATCCTTTGAAACCGGGGAAGAATCAGGTACTCAAAGTCACAACATGAATCCTTCCCTAATGGAGGCAGTAGCAGAAGTTGAAGTGCCAAGCTCTCATGGTCGCGACGTGGTTGATGAATCCTTGGTGATTACGTTCCGGAATTCAATCTTCAATTGTCTGCAAAATTCTGGAATTCCACAAGAGGTATGTTCCAAGAACAACATGTGTTTTCCTTGATTCATAAACCAAAAACAGGAGTTAATATGTACAATCCTAATTAATTTCCATTCAACTGTTTGCACCTTGCAGCAACAAGTACCAGATTTCCAGGCCTTTTGCAAATCATGGGAGGCCAACAACAATCAGAATCTCTTTTAACATAAGGGTCAATCTTCTACCTCTTTGATATGTGCCAAAACATGCATTAGGAACATGCTGTATATATATATATATATTTCTTTTATTTCTGTTGTTGAAGGTATGACATAGGTGTTTATATCTAATTATCTTATTATCTTGTGGACCACTTGTTGATGATTTTTCCTATGAATGTGATTGTTAAAAAATGTTGTGTTTGTTGTTGTTTCTGTTCTATTAATTAATTTCCTGCAAAGTCTAGTTAGAGTTTTTTCAGTGATTGGTCTTTCTGATATCTGCAGTTGTTGGAGCTCATCCTATAAACTTCATAATATTGATTTCTGTTCTAATTAATTAATTTCCAAGTTGATTGTTGCTTTGAGTCACTTGTCTTGGATCTTTTCTTTTTTAGAAAGGCAATTATACATTGGGGTGGGGTGTGGGAATTACAACTCTTGGGTTTGAACCCCAAGATCATACCATCACAAAGCACTGGCTTTACCAGCCAGGCCATCAGCGATTGGCATATTTTTAAGGTTTGCTTCTGAATACGAAATTCTTCAATATAAATGTAAGACTTTCCAATTATTTGCTCCATTGTATATGGTCTTTTGGGTGACCTCTCTAACATATGTTCAATATTCCTAAACTTTTATGAAGTGATTGAATTAGACTGGTAACCAATATATAGAGATAGATTGAAATTGACAGATAGCCAATATAAATTCCTTTAAGGGGTATTGAGTGATTAAGAGTTTAACGATTTAAATTGAAAATTTTAAATTTAAATTTTAAAACAAGTGCGCAAAGAGATTATCGGATTAAGGAAATGAAAGGTTTATTTTTTATTGTATATTCTAATTTATCATCTGATATATATATATATATATATAAAACAATGTATATTTATTTAGCAATAGAAAAATCTACCATAAGTTATATAGTTTAGAGGTATTTGGTAGAGTTACATGTTTTCTCAATTATAAATTTACGATTCAATCTTTAATCTCTATATATCAAGAAAAAAATAATAGTGAAATTTATGAATTTTAGAAGTTTAATTAAAAAAAGACATTTTGTACATATATGATAATCCTAAATTTAAAATTTAATACAATTTGAATTATAAAACTACAAACTCATTTAATTTTTTGTTCTTGGATATATATGAGCTCCTCGCTTTTTGGAGGTGTTCTCATTTTGTGAGCCTATTGCCTATTGCCTAGATTTGGTAACAAGTTCGCTCATTTTTGTAGTATGTATTTTTTAACAACAAAAATAAATTTCATTGAAAAGGATATAAGGGAATACATATTCAGGTTTCATTTAAGAGTATTATGTTGGATTATGGCTATATTTATAATATTTTAGTCTAAAAATATATAAAAATATTAATTAAAATTAATTAAAAATAATAAATTTACATTTTTAAATAAAATATTTGTATGAAAAATATCCATGTAAAACATTCCCAAACCAAAATTCAGTACAGTGAAAAACAAGTTCACAGAACATATTCATTACATCCCTATATGTTATAATTGTTTT